TGCATTTTCATGAATTATTCATGAATAACTCATGGAAATGCAAGGTTTATTCATGCTCCAAAAAACCCAAGCCTTGTTCCTCTCCTTTTCTGCTCACTCTTCCTGTAAGAAACAGACTGACAGAGGCTAAAGAAAGAAAAAAGGGGGGGGGATTTGTTTTACAGTGGGGGGCTCCTTATCCAGACAACAGAAACCTGGCAAGGAATTGTGATGAGGGGACACACACACAAGGCAAAAGAATTGTACCATCACCTTCTCTTCTGCAGCAGGCAGCTGAGAGCTGGATAGACAGGAGACATTTTGCAAGACTCTGCAACTGAAGCAGTGCTAACCAGGCAAGGACTGAGATCTATTGATATCAGGATTTGATCTCTCTCTCTCTCTCTTTTGCTCTCTCTCTCTCGCTCTCTCTCTCTCGCTCTGTCTATGTGGATTGTTCGTTAAGTTGCATTCTTTTAAAATGAAATAAAAATTAGGAGAGCAAGTGGGCTGGAGGGGACGAGAGCCACTTCTGAAGATTAGTGAAAAAGAAAACATCTTTTAAAAGTTCCTTTTCAGGCTGGAGCTGTTAGCTGCTTGGACCATTAGCTGCTGGAAAACAGATCTGGAAACCTGTTTGTTCATTTAAGGGAGGGTGAAATCGCAGCTGTGCATTTATCTCACCCGGTAGCTTAGTCTCTTTGTAACCTTTTGTGGTCTGAAGAGCAGGGTTATCTGCAGCCGACTGTACAGCGATAGCAGACTGGGGCTTGGAAACAAGCCAATTAACACAAGATAAAATATTGTACCATATTAAAAACTCATTGACATGTCCTAGCCGAGGGAGAGGAATTGGAACGAATCAGGGGATAGTATTTGCTAGAAGGGCAGCTATTTTACATAGGACTCGGAAGGTTTGTGGAAAGTTAGTTGCTTTTGCAAGCAAACTCCTTCTGAGAATGGGTGGGAGATGAAACAATTCCCTTGGAGTGATTCAGAGCCCAGAGTGAATGGAATCAATGTGGATGGTGCGGAAAACACCAAGCCTTTAATCTGGGGGGGGGGGGTGTCATGAAACCAGTTTGGATTGGGTGAGGTCTGACCTATGCATTTTGTTTGCTCCAGTCTCCCTCTTGTTCCGTGCTGTAACATGTCTTTGCTCCCGTGTGTAACTGCTCTGGGTTATCCTCGGTCTCCAATAAGCCTGTCTGGTGTCTGGCGTAGATTCTTAGCACCAGATTCAGACAGTGAGGCTTACCTTACTCCCCAAGTGCTGCTATTCAAACGAATGGGTGTGTTTCTGGAGGACCGCGCTGCTGAGTGTCGTTGAGGCTGTCAGAATCTTTGTGAGCTTGTTAAAGGCTTCCTATAGCCACGGCGCATGCAATGCAGTGATGCTTGGAACAAAACCACCCCAACTTTCCATTTCAGGGCGTAACCCAGACTCCCCTCCCGTTCCATTTCACTGTGTGACCAGAGGCACTAGCAGGGCCTTGGGCTCCCCTCGTGTTTGCCATATTGTTCTGTAAACTCCCATGTGGAGGATGTCCCCAGGCCAGCGGTGCTGGGCTTACTATCAGTGTGCAGTACAGCTGCTTCAGCTCTGTACATGCCCCATCAGCTCCTCCCCTTGTGCCGGATACTCCTGGGGCACCTACTATGTTGCAGCAATCCAAGCCAGAGTACCCGACACCACGGTGGTTGGCGTGAGAGAAATGCTATTGATAATTCCAGTACTGGAGAGGAAGGATGACCTTGAGGTTAAGGAGCTGAACTGGCACTCGGGAAGTCTGGCTTCAAATCCCAGCTCCACCGTACACTTCCTGTGTGATCGTAAGTGAGCCACTTAATCTCTCTTTGGCTCAAATTCTCATCTGTAAAATGAGATAATCATAGAAGTGTAGGACTAGACGGGACCTCAATAGTTCATCTAGTCCAGCCCCCTGCACTCAAGGCAGGACGACGCAACAACTAGACCATTCCTGACAGGTGTTTGTCTAACTGGGTCTTAAAAACCTCCGACGGAGATTCCACACCTCACTGGACAATTTGTTCAAGTTGTCCAACCTAAACCTCCCTTGCGACAATGTAAGCCCATTGCTTCTTGTCCTAGCCTCAGAGGTAAACAAGAACAATTTTCACCCTCCTCTTTGTAACCTTTTATGTACTGTTATCTTGTCTCCCCTCAGTCTTCTCTTCTCCAGACTAAACAAGCCCAATTTTTTCAATCTTTCCTCATAGGTCATGATTTCTAGACCTTTAATCATTTTTGCTGGTCTCCTCTGGACTTACTCCAATTTGTCCACATCTTTCCTGAAACGTGGCACCAAGAACTGGACACAATGCTCCAGTTGAGGCTTAATCATCCTGGAGTAGAGTGGAAGAATTACTTCTCGTGTCTTGCTTTCAACACCCCTGCTAATACATCCCAGAATGATGTTCGCTTTTTTAAGCAACAGCGTTACGCTGTTGACTCATATTTAGCTTGTGATCCACTATGACCCCCCAGATCCCTTTCCACAATACTCCTTCCTAGGCAGCCATTTCCCATTTTAATGTGTGCAACTGATTGGTCGTTCCTAAGTGGAGTAGTTTGCAGATTGTCCTCTTTGTCTGTCCCGTCAGTTTTATTTGTAAGCTTTTCAGAGCAGGACTGACTCATGTTAGGTGTTTGTACAGCACCTGGCACAACGTGGCCCTGAGTCAGGCCTCTAGGTGCTACTGTAATACAAATAATAATAACAATGGATGGTGCTGTCCACTTACACTGGAAACTAACTTGTGCAGTTCCAGTCGTAAAGGAAAGACTACATAGCATTTTCACAGGGAGTATTCTAAGCAAATTTAAGAGAAAACAGTTGCCTGTTTTAAATAGAAGTCAGAGTAGAATGACTTTGAGGTTCTAGTCCATGAGGTGTGTGGTTCTTTGGCAGAAAGAAGTTAAGCATAATTCCTGCTGTGTGCACAGATGACAGAATTTGCGTGCTAAAAAAGAGCAGTGGTTTGCAATGGTTTGGGGCCTATAAATTCTCTCATTGGCATGCGAGTTTTAACGTGATCAACACTTTCCACTCTGCCTTTGCAGGGGTTCATACCGAGTTGGCTTTCTTTGTGGAAAAGCCACACCCACATTTTCTCCAGCGTGCTTAAAAAGAGATCAAGTCATGCAATAATACTAGTACTCTTATCGAGAGTCTTTCATTCATGCATCTTAAAGCACTTTACAAAGGAGGGAAGTGTCATTATTCCTATTTGACAGATGGGGAAACTGAGGTACAGAGAGGGGAACTGACTTAAGCTCATCCAGCAGGCCAGTGATGGAACAGAACTAAAATCTCCTGTCTCCTAGTTCATGGCTAGCCACTGGGCCACATGGTCTCTCCGCTGGCCACCTAGCCTGGCTGATCACAGGAGAACTTGTTTCAAAGTAACTTTTGATTTTTGGAAGAGGGCGGTGTGTGACTTGGGCTGTTTGTGCCCAAAGTGCGCTGAGCGCCGGGTAGGAGAACTGGGCGCTTTCAGTGCAGTGCTGTTGCCGCATGTGCAAATGACCAGGGACATGTCCGAACTTTCCTTTGCAGTTGTCATGAAAGCAGACACGCTACATGAGCATGCGAACCAGGCACACAAATGTGCATTCACTTTCCTGAAAATCTGGGTTTGAAGGGAGTATTTGGCTTTCCTCCATCCCACAAAGAACTTAGCTTTCAAATGTTGTTTGCAGTATTGCTCTCACTCGGCTGGGGTAGAGCATGCTTTCAGAGCATAATATTCTCATTCCTAGGATATTTCGTTTTACTCCGAACGGTCTATTGGTTTTGGCTAAAATGCATGTAGTTCCTTTTTGCTTTTATCTTTTGTGTTGCCTTTCATGTACAGTGAGCCTGATTCTCAGCTGATGGGAAATTGCCATGATTCCATTGAAGTCAATGCAGAGTATTTTATATAGCATCAGACAAATAGCTCTCACTGCTCCGGCCAGCTCTGGGTGGCCTGAGATGATACATGTCATTGTTGGAACTGCAGTTTCTCTTTCAAAAAAATACCAGACAACAACAACGACACCCCCGCAGGCCTGTGCCTGTAGTTGCTTCAATGAGCAATCTCCAGGAGAAAACTGGAAATGTTCAGTACACACAATGCCGAGAATCAGAGGAACAGCAGAAAGGAGGGGAGGGAATTTGTTGCAGGGACAAGTGTTTCACCTGCTACTCTCATCGTCAGTACAAACTCCCAGGTGGGGTTTGCTTCTGTGCTCCTCCCGATCACGGTAGGCAGCGTTTTGGCATGCGACTGTACTCCAAGGTGGTCCCAGCATTGCCAGATTACAAATACCTGTGTGAAAACAATCTGCTGTCAGGAATTGGAGAGTGGTTACAAACACTCTGGCGTGGTTATTTTTATAATTCTTGTGATTTGTAGGCATTACCAGAGCACTCCCAGCTACAGCAGCTGAGCTCCCAGTTAACCTGATTATCTCCAGGACATTCATGCTGTTAGCATTATTTTTGCCCTGAAGCAAGTCCTGGAATAGATGCACAATATTTGAATTTACTCCTTTTAATGAATGACCCTCAGCAGTTCACAAACTGCTGATAAACACGCTGCATTCATCAGACATGAACAAGGCATCATAACAACACTGTAAGCAAGCAGTGGTCACAGTTTTCACTAAAGCTGAACGCACTCTTCACAGTGAATAATAGACAAGGTTTTCAAAGATGGATGTTTAAAGTCAGGCTCCTAAATTGGGCACCCAAATAAGAGGCCTGATCTCCAAAAGATCTAGGCAACCGGCAGTTCCCTCTGCGTCCCTAATAATTAAAGTGGGTATGCTCCGGAACATAGCTCCAGCAAGGGTGAAATACCCCTGGCATGTATTCTTGTTCCTTCTCTTCTCTTCTAGGCGGTGCTGGTTCAAATGGCTGCCAAACTTTTCGTTCTAATCAGCTGGCCAGATGGCAGCCGTGTGATCAACATCGAAAACATCAAAGAACCCCGAAAGCCATTTCATCTCTACGTGGTGGGGGAGCAGGTGCTAGCCCGCTGCCCTGGCTTCAGTGGTCTGTACTGGGGGGTTGTGGAAGGCATAAGCGGTAAGTGATCATTATCCATCCTAGACTTAGGCCTGTTGGGAGCAGCCTCTAGAAACAAGTGAAATGAACATTGAAAACCCTTTTCTTCCAACAGAGCATAAAGATATTTTAGAGAAAAGGCTGCAGGAAAATAGACAACTCTTTGAGAAGCTAAGTAAGTATGGAGTTTTGCACAGGAGGATTAATATAAAGCAGGCAGTGTATTTCTGGAGGAAAGTAATTAACTATATTAACCTTATACCCCGGTGTGGTTTTTTTAAAATGGATGGATCATAAATATATCCTCATCCCATCCCTTATGAATCGTACGACAGCGTCCATGTAGTAAGGACTGAGAACACTGCTGTGGGATGTTGCAATATATGTCATTGTGGTCTTGCCAATTACCATACGTGCCCCATCTTGCTTTCAGAAGAAGAACCAGCAGTGCACAGTGGGCTGCCATCCCAACCTAAAAAATCAAGGAAGTCTTTTCCAAAATGGATGCCAGGAAGTTCCTCTCGCAAATACAGCGATGACAGGAGCTTCTACGTCAAACCGCTGGTCGGGGATGAAGACGCAGGGCTCAAGCATGATGCTGCCATCTCTTCTGTCTTAAAAGAGAGGCGCATTCTGACTAGCACGACTAGATCCCACTGCACAATGTCAGCACCTCACCACTCTTCCCCGGCCTTCAAATCACCATCTCCGTTCTTGTCCCTGGCTGTGCCTGGAACATCCCAGAATGAAGAAGCAAGGCCTGGCACAGCTACCAGAGGTAAACCAGCTGGGATTATTGTCTGTGAAAGAGTCAAATGTTTTATTTTATTCCACTCCTGTCTATTTTTAAATTTGAATGTTGGTGTTAGTGAAAAGGGTCAGAGGGGCTCTGAATTCCTGTTTCTCTGCAGCGGGGGCTGCAGACCAATGCGCATGTGCTTTCCTTGGGTGTGAGAACAGTCATGGTGAGAGTTGAGTCCTTTCCATCCTTGGTGTCTCTTCTCTGATGGGGCTGCTCACCAAGGTGACAACTCTGTGGTAGTGGCTTTTTTGTGATCCAAAGAACCCTGAGATCGCCAGCTCTTTTCTCATACGCTCACAATTCTTTCCACACAAGCCAGTGAACCACACTCCTAATATAATGTATTTGTTTAATTAATTATAAAGTACCCAAAAATGTGCTGACCTGAACATCTGACCTGTTTCAGGTTTACCTATCAATTCATCCATACACACATACTAAACCTCCCTGAAAGTAACAATCTTGTTTTCTGTGTATTTGTCATTTGTGCTGATGACTACACTAGTGTCCATAGTCTTTTTCACCTTCATGAGCCATGTTCCCCCTGCCCAGTTTCTTCACTGATGGCACAGTGCCTTGCTAAGGATATTGTGGTTGAATTTCAACTATATATTGTGATGAGGGTTTTTCTTTCTGCCTGTAACAAAATCCAACAGTTCAAACCAAAGACAGCATGTTTGAGTCATGCTGTTGATAGTTTGGGAACATCAAGCAGAAGTACCTAGATGAACATGCTCTGGAGACCAATGGGATCCAGGTGATGACAATTTCACATGTGTCTTTTGCTTCCTGCTCCAACCCTCTTTCTAGATTACGTCACCCTGACAATGAAAAGGAAGTCAGATGGCATTCTAGCTAAGTGTCAGCAGCACATCTGTACCAACAGGTAATATTCCCAGAAGCAGTAAGGACAGTGAAGGTTTCAAAGTGCCTCTCATAGTCTCCACTTGTGGTTCAGTAGCTGAGGTTCCATTTCCTGATGCTGTTTGGTTTGTCCTGCCTTGTTCACAGAACTTTGCAGACAAAGGGGAGTTCCAGGGGATCTGGGGCAATTGAGGAGAGCTGCCTATTCTGACCACAAAGGATCCATGAAAGACAAAGCGGAAATTGGGGCAGCTCTTCCTGCCCTCCACATAGAGCCAGAAACTGCCCTCAATTACACCAGCGTAAATCTAAAATAACTCAATTGAAGTCATAGTTAGGGCCTGAATTTCCACTGCCCCGCACCCTATGTAATCATTTAAGTATGAACCAAACCATGAATGGCAGTATTCTGCATCCCCTTTGCACTTGTTTTGTAAGAGACTATACACATGTAAGCTAGTGGGGAATCAAGTCCATAACATATAACATGTATTTAAGTTGCTGATATTTTCTATGTAAAACACAGGGAGTGACATTCATCTGAAATGCTTGCCCAGTGACATGAAGTATTGCGAGATATTTACCTTGTTTACTTGGGATGCCACATGAAATTGGAAGTTGGTGGGTTTTTACAAAATGCTGCGTTCTACACTTTAGACCACAGAACACTTATGAAATAAATATGAAGCATCTTCTTCCATTGCTTGTTGGTCTGTTTGTTTGTTTTTTCTAGCTGTGATGAACCAAAGACTGAAGGTTCCCCAGAAACAGATGATTTTGAGGGAGTTCAGAAAGATTTTGGCCCTGGTGAAATGGAAAGGTAATTAATGAAAGATGAAGTTACAGGTACCTGCACATAGCTACGTTTTCCTCAATACTCAGAAAATAGAAGCATTCAGATTAGTGCTACCAGACAACATGCAGCAATTTGTTAGACCCCAAACCATCAACATGATAAGAATCAGGTTGAAGCCTCTTTCAGATTTGAAGGTTTATATGCTGGTATCATGATAACTCGGCTTCAAAATATTGCAGGATCATATATATCTGAGCTCTCCATCATTTAACCTTCAGATTGACCTCTGTCCCACCCAAACATAGTTCTATCTCACTGTTGTTATTGTTACTTGCATCAGAAATGTGGGATCATGAAACCGAGTCTATACACCATTTTATTCTAAAGCTCTGGATCTCTTGTCATGTCATGATTCCGGCACTGCACTTTTCTGTGTTCCAGTCATTGTGGGTCTTATTTCATACTGTGCATACCTGCCCTCTGGAACTTTGAGAGTAGGAACAAAATAAGAAAAGACCAATAACTCTATCTTAAACTTTAACCAAAGCTTAAAGCAAAGTGAAATGGAAGGTCAGATCATTACATCTTCACCCAGGCAAACTCCCATTGGCTTAACTAGTACCAGGAGAAAGTCTGCTCTTCCCAGCCCAGTTTTTCAGACTCAGGTAGCTTGGGTATTCAATGGGCAATGCATTCTGAACTGACACATCACACCCATTGCTAGCTGAAGGAGAATAGCGCCTTGTGGCAGGCATGCATGTTATATGCTTTATTTTATTTTTTAGGTCCGAGAAGATTGAACAACTGGAGAGAATCATAGTAGATCTCCAGCAAGAGGTCCTCTCCCTGAAACGGAAGGTGCAGCGGCTGGAATCACTGTCCTTTCAGGAAGAACCCCATAGGCAGCAATGCGAGGTGGTGGAATTGTTTAATGGCTACACAAAGGAGCATTTGAAAGAGGCCATCCGATTTGACCAGAAAATCAGCACCGCCTGCAAAACACTACTCTACAAGCTGTTCACGTCCGACTATATACAGAGTCACTCCATCACAGGAAGGAGAGGGAACACCTTTCGGGAGGCTAAGCCCATGATGGATGAGCGGTGCATCAAAATCATTAGGGTGTTACTGAAGCAGAAGTTTGGGGACCACCTGAGCGACACAGTAATCACTGAGAAAATCCAAAATGTGCAGAAAGCACTCAGGCAGAAATTTAAGACTGAATGCCTCTGAGCAGCATGTGATTCGATGTCTCATTTCCTAGGCAGCGCCGGAATCTAGAATACAATGGGCTGAGCAGCCTTTCCAAAAAGTTGCTTCACTTTTGTTGTTTTGCTGATTCAGCCCCTGGATTAATTGTGGAAGCTCGGTGAAATATCTGCTAGAAACAACACAAACTATTTGTGGCTAAAACTCTGTTTGCATTCACACCCTGGGAGATTTTCACCCAGAATTTTCCAAGTCTGGCGTCATTTTACAAACCCCTCAGTTTTGCAACTCGTGCAAAGGAGTCGATGTTTTTGTTCCATTTATAATGGACAACTTTGGGGGAAAAAAGATTGGAGATTTCAATTGAAGAAGCCCCCAGAAATATGGATGGGTAATCAAATCTGATTCCAACTATTCAAACACCTTGGGTCTGAAAAATGATGCTGAAAATCTCACAAGGAGTAGGTTTTAAACATCCAAACTTTCGGATGTGTGTTCCAGACTGAAACGCTCAGCCTTCTGAAGTTGATCCAGCACTGCTACCGCTGCACACACAGCAGACAACTAGTATTTCAGATCCAGCTCAAACGAAGCTATAACCTATTTGCAGACTTGCAAACACCAACTTTAACCTTTTCACTAGTCTCTATTTCCTCACCTCCTCTCAGGTTACTGAGGCGGTAAACAAGGCAGAGAGGGAAGGGTCAGAGGTGAAGCAAGCCACCACTCACTGAAAGGGCATGGTGAGACACTTTCCACTTATCTCTCTCATAACACGCAAGGCAGTAAGATGTAGATGCCACATTCAGCCTTGTAGTGGGTCAGAACAAAAAATGTCACCTCTCGGGGCAATGAGTGTAACCTGAATAAAAGCAATACACGTGAATTGTACATGCAACTTAATGGGCTTTGGGCCCACCTGATCCTCACATGGGATTTACATCCCTTTCCTCATTCAACCTTGCTTCTCTCCTCTCAGCTGCAGCCCCCAGCTTCTACCAAGGATAGAGCAAAATAAATCCCTTTGATGCCAGATGAGCGTGTCTGAGAATTTCCTCTGACAATAGCACGGGAAGGCTCCATAACACGTTAACAGAAGGAAATGCTGGCTAGTGGGTTTTTTGTTGTGGTGGTTGCTTGCTTTTATGTGTATTGTTCCTAATGCAGCTGTATGGAAGACGCAGTTAGAATTCATCCAAACTATCACAAATCTACCCAACAATAGAAGCTCAAAGCAGCTCCCTCTCCCACTTAAATTGCTCTTTCTTTCTTTTGTTCTTTTGCTCTTTCAGAAAACAGATTTTTCTACTCAGACATGGAGCAATTCAGTAGCAACAGTGTAAGAGGGAGAGCACTTGGCTCTCTACAGCTGTCCTCTCCTTTAGGAGTCAGAAACATTACTAACACAGTCACTATTATTCATGATTATTTATTTCAAGTACCGTAGCTCTTGGGAACCCTAGTCATGGACCAGAGCCCCATTGTACTATATATAATCACAGTAAAAAAGGCAGGCCTGCCCCAAGGAGCTTACAGTCCAAGTTCCCATAAAAGAATAAAACAACACCCCAGCATAGGCATGTCCAGCAGCAGAGCTGTGCAGAGAACAGAAATTCCATTTCACAGATTTGGAGAGATCAAACATTTGTTGTCGTCCTAATGAGGAACGAAACCCGAAAATTGCAAAACTGTCCATAAAAGAAAATTTGGGGGGAAAAAACCATTTTGTTTCAACAATAACCTATAATGTAATATAAAAAAAAAAATTCTGAAACCAAAAATCATTTTGAAAGGAAAAATCAAAACAGTCCCCTTTCAGAACTTTTTTTTCCTGATATTTTTCTCCAAAATGAAAGTTTGGCAAAATCGACAGGATTTCGCAAAACATTTCCATTTCGGTGAAACTGAATTCTCCAAAGGAAAAAAGATTTTCAGACCAGCTTTACCCCGCAATATTTGGCAGTAGTGCCTGATTGCTGGAGATACGTTGAATAGTCCAGTCAGTAACAAAGGAGGTTCTATAAGCTCCTCCAACACAGCCGTCTCTGCACAACTCCATATATTACAAATACATTATTAGAGGTTGTCTATTCTTTGTATGGATCTCATCCTCAGCATCAGATGAATTTGTTCTTATTATCAATGTCAAGACCTACGCAATTAGGGACAAATGTTCTGCCAGTTTCCAAAAATATGTCCACAAAAGGCCAAATTGATTAGGCTGAGTCATCTCTCTCCCATGGTGTGGAACATGGAGCTCGCTCGTAAACCAGGGCTCCATTTCAGAGGTGGTTCAGTTTCCTGCTAGAGGCTTTGCTTTCGGCTGACATCACTGTTCAGTGAAAAGTCCCAAGAGATTTTTCATGATAATTGATCAGGGGGGATATTTTGAAAGGCACAGATGGGAGATGGGGGCCCAACTGCCCTTGTGCCTTTGAAAACCTTCCCCCAGGACGTCACTTTGAAGTCTCCTCAGAAAGATGGTGCCTTCAGCAACACGGTGTCTTTTAACACTTCCGTGATCGGTAGCAATGATTCAAGTAGAAAAGTACTGCCAAGTTGGTGACCAGCGCCACCTCCTGAGTCAATTGGGCTTTTCTCCAGAGTATCCCACAGATGGTCTAACTTAGCCCTAGAAGCTTACTTCCCGGGAGCTCATCAGATCATGGGCCAAGGTGCAGCCTTGAAAGCCAGGCAGCAAATGTTATTTATGGAATTACTTTTTCTTTCCTCCCATACTGAGCCCCACATCCTGATCAACGGAGGGTGATGCAGAACCAGAGAACGTTGTTAATTTTTTTTTTTTAAGGACATGTTTTTAGCCGCCAAAGGCCCCTGTAACAAATCAATCCCAATCTGCTTCAGGGGAAACAAATATGTTGTGTGACCTTTCAGCACAAAAGGTCACGTGGCCGATCCCTTTGAGGTAAACTTCACTGTCTGATATGTTCCCTGACGGTCAGCAAATGCGCTCAGAAAATGGCAGCCGTTTCAGCCCCCTCCCGTCTATGCAAAGCCCGCCAAGTCACTAATGAGAGAATGTTCAAATGGTTCCCTAACAGCAAATAAAAGGTGTCCTTATCCCCTCTCCGTCCTTTGAGAAATGGTTCCTGGGGCAGAGTGGAGAAGGAAGACACAGGTGCCAGTTCATTTTGAGGGTATTATCAAAGGAAGTCAGCATTGCTGAGATAATTGGATGCACTCACAGACAGGTGAGCCTGCAGGATGAGAGCAGCACCCGATAAAAAATGCAGTTAGGAAGCCAGTAGTCTCACCAACATTCACTCAGGCTGCTTGATACCTCATCAGAGAACATCACATCATGCCAAGCGGTGTCATCGTTTAGTGCTCTAAGGGTTGGGAGAATAGAGGAGGAGGAGGATGTATGTCAGAGCTACTTCAATGAGGGATGTTCAAAGCCTTTCAAAGCCTACGCCCCTCCCCACTTCTCAAAAGTCCTCAACTGAATTATGTTCACCTTCCACTCTAACAGCAACATCAGAGTTAAAGTGAGTGTCTGGACGGGACTTTTGCTAAAATACACAGGATACTTTAATCCATAATCTCAGATAAGACATGGCTCTTAACAGGGCTCTTAGCTACTCTGGGTTCAGAAAGGTTAGAATTGTAGTGAAAGGGAAAGGCCAAACGCAGAATGGATTTAGGTGAGTTTTGTCATTCATTCAAAAGCAAGGAAGTACAGGCCCTTCCTTCTCATTAGAACTGGGAGAAATTATTTGGTGAAAACTTTTTCAGTGAAAAATGCAGATTTGGATTGACCAAACCAAATAGCTTCAGTCAGGGGGGAAAAAAAAATTCTGAAAAAATCCAAACATTTCATTTTGACATTTTTTCAATGAAATGTTTCAGACTTTTGCTTTAAAACGATTTTTTTTGTTTCGAAATGTCTTTCAAAGTTTTTTTTTAAAAGATCAAAATGGAAACAAACTATTTTTGACCCTAAATTAATTTGTTCTTTACTTTTCAGTTCGCTGAAGCATTTGGAAATTTCTGTATTATGGCTGAGTTGGCCATAGATCTGCACACAGTTTTACTCCTCATGCAACCTCCAGAATTAAACTGATGCCTCAGAATCTTGATCTTCCTCCTCCCTCAGCGAAACCATGAGGCAAATCCAAAGGTCATTGTCTTCAGAGTTCAAACCAATTCAGACTGAAATGTGGGGTAATTGTCAGTTAACTATGAGCCTAGCGGGAAATGAACCTCTTATGCCTGCTAAAGTTCAGATTCCAGCTGTGAAACCCTGAAGTGGATTTGATTAGAATGCCCTGGTGGTTCAGGAACTGTGACCCAGTGGCATTTTTTGGATGATAAGACACTTTCTGACAATTACCAGGACTCTTGACCGTTTTGATGCATCATTTCTCTGCAGATTTTTTTTCCCCTTTCATGCCTCCCTTCCCCTTGTCTTCCCTGGGGCCAGTGAATTGGCCTCTGAAAAAGAATGGACACAGATTGGGCAGCAAGTGCTAGAGAGAGGGGCTGCCAAAGGAGAGAGGGGTCTTTGAACACATTGGACAACCCTCTAACCTGCCTATGAGCAGCTGCTCAAATAAGAAAAAGACAAGTGGCCCGGTGATCAGCTCTGGTTTAATAGTCTATGTCCTTCATCTTTATTTAAGCATTTGAACATTTTATAATGTTAGATTTAGGTTTAAGTTTCATTGTAATGCTTTTGGGGTTTTTTTTGTGCATTGGCCTCAGGCTAAGTTGCCATTAATAAACGTTGCTTTGCTTCTCACCTGCCAGCTTAGAAAATCTAATTTATATAAACACGATCTCTGAAACTTGGACTAAGTAATAGCCGGGAGGGATTTTAGGTCACAGTAATGCTATTAGCTAGATACAATCTCTGGAACAGCAATCAGAGCCTTTTTCTAGCTGTAATGTTTTTATACGTTTCCGATGTTTGGGAATGGCACAGCATTAGACCGCTCTGATTTCTTGTTCAATGCCATTTTTTTAAGGCCTGCATGCACAATGGAGAGGAAGCCTAATCTAGG